ACACACAAAGCAATATCACCCAAAGTAAAATTATCTTGTGTTTGCTATTGAATCCTTCAATAAAGAATAGACAATATGGAGGGAAAATTCAGATCCATAAAGATCTTGGAATGATAATTCAAATGTAAGTAATTTGGAAGCTATTGCCTGAAAAGAAAGCAGAGCAAAAGCATACACGTGGAAAGAAAGGAAAAGAAAAAAAAAACCCATAAAACAAATGCTAACACCAGAAAGAATCTGAGTGAAAAAGAAAAAAAAAAGTATGACAGTTAAGAAATGCTTTTAAATAAGTATGATAGTATGCAACAGTTACTCTATAGTTATCAAAAAAGCACAAGTTTCAACTTACTGATTCAATTTTAAAGAACAAAATAGAAATTAGAAGTTATAAAACCCCTAAAAAATAACAATCAGGAGAATTAAATATAGAAATAAATCAACAAAACAAGATATGTGCTTGAGAAATTTGAAAAAAAAACTGAATGTAAAGGAAAATAAGTCAATTTTTATTTTTAAAACACAATTCAAAACATGTTGCAAAATTTTACAATCAAATAGTATAATATGTGGCAGTACTAATATTGAAAGTAAAAATCTAATAAAATGATATTTTACTAAATGTATATTTCCACCACTAATTCTCAGCATTAATAAATTAGGAAAGCAAAATGGACATAATTGAATTGATATTCAAAGATTGCATGAGAATTATGTCTCATAAAATAAAGGATTCACTAAATTTTGTTCTTAGAAAAAATAATGGTGCACTAAATCTATAAAAAAGGAAAGACAGAATGTGTGCAGCATATATACAATGGTAGGAGAAAATAAATCTCATTTAGTTGAGCTCAGTTGATCAAGATTTCAGAGCAAGGCCACAGAGATTTAGTAACAGGATTGTTGATACATGTGGAGGACAAAGTGGAAGCTCAGAATAATGAGCTGTGTCTACAGTGTTCTTATGGTCACAATAAGAAGCAGCTAAACAATTTAAAATGAATAATTCAGAAAACAACCAATTGGGCTCCTCGGAAAGTAGTTGTAGCTCGAGGGAGTGGCAGGCACCTTAGGGAGAGTACCAGCCAGCATCTCCTGAGATCTATGCCATGTTGGAACATAGGGCACTGGGAAAGAAAGTTATCTGCTCACCTCCCTTGTATGCAGCCATAGCTAGGGCAAGCGGCGGGTACCCCAGGGAAAGAAGCAGCCAGCATCTCCCAAGATCCAATGCCATGTTGGAACTTAGGGCTCTGGAAGAGAAACCAACCAGCTTGCCTCCCTGGTAAGCAGCCATGAGTCTATCAGCATGTGAGCTAAGAATTGAACATCCCACTCAACCACCCTCCACCCTTAGCAAAAAGGAGTCAGAAGTGTGAGCATCTCTTGGGAGGTTGACCTTATGCAATTTAGCAAATATGGGGGATTTCCTTCTACCATCTCTTTGAAGGCAAATATTTTTATCAGTGTTTTGCTTTGTTCAGATTAATTGTATCTCTCTATTCAATGTTCTGTTTTGATACGTTTTATAATGTTCTGTATTTGGTTTGATTTTGCTATACCTGATTGAAAGGACAACTATTGTGAAGATAATAAGATACCCTATAGCACCTATTACTGTTATCCTGGTAACCTATTGTGACCTTCAGTACCAATTTCACTGCATTGTCTCAATTGACCTTTTTCTGTCTTGTTCTGTTTTATTTCACTACCTTTAAAATTTTTTTTTTTTTTTTTTGTCTTTTTCCTTTTTATCGGTACCAGGGATCAAACTCACGACCGCCTGCTTATAAGGCAGGTGCTTACACCACTGAGCTAAATCCCCAGCCCACTACCTTTAAAATTATAAAAAAATTAAAAATAAATAAATTGAGTAATTCAATAAATGGCAGTAAGACCACATGGGTTTAAATGTGGAGATGGTCAGTGAAATCTTGAAAAATTAAAAGCACTTACATTTTAAGAGCAAAACTGAGGAAGAAAAGTCAAATGGGATATTTTTGCTTATATTTATTATTTTTCTCTGTGCTATTTTTAATTTAAAATTATACAGTTATAGTTTATATATAGTGAAATACAGAGATTACTAGTATTCTGTTTGAGGTTTGATAAATGAGTGTGGCTGTATAACTAACTTTTCAGTCAAGAATTAGAATATCAAGTGGCAGAGTGGGGCCCTTCCAGAGGGAGAATCACCAGTGTCTCCTGAGATCCATGCCATGTTGGAACTTAAGATGCCGGGAAACCAAGCAAGCACCTCTCCTCCCTGATAAGTGGCTGTGGTTTGGCAGACTGCAGCCCTTCCAGGGGGAGAAGCACCAGTGTCTCCTGGGTTCTGCACCATGTTGGAACTTAGGACTCTGGGAGACCAAGCAAGCAGCTCCCCTCCCTGGTAAGCAGACTACAGCCCCTCCAGGGGGAGAACCACCAGTATCTTCTGAGATGCACACCATGTTGGAACTTACGAAGCTGGGAAACCAAGCAACCAGCCTGCCTCCCTGCTAAGCAGTAGTGAACCTACCAGTGCATGGCCTAGAGTAAAACATGCCACTTTCCCTAACCCCCTTCCCCTGCCCCCACCTCCCGTTAGCAAATGGAAAGCAGAAATCTGAGCATCTCCTGGGAGGTTGACCATAGCAAATAAAGGGGATTTCCTTCTACCATCTCTTTGAAGGCAAATATTTTTATTAGTTTTGCTCTATTCTGATTAATGGTACTGCTCTACTCAATATTCTGTTTTGATAAGTTGTATAATGTTCTGATTTCATTTTATTTTGATATACATGATTGAAAGAACAACTATTATAAAGATAATGAAATATACTGTGATACCGATTACTGTTATCCCAGTAACCTGCTGTGAAGTTCTCTACCAATTTCACTTTACGATCTTAGTTGGCTTTATTCTGTCTTATTCGCTGTATTTTACTACTTTCAAAATAAAATTAAAAAGAGAATTAGAATATCAGAATCCTTTCCTCAACTGACTTATTTCACTTAGTAATGTATTTTACGTTTGCCTGTTGTGTGTAATGTATTTATTTCATTCTGTTCATTGCTTACCAACAATCATTAAAATCCACTCTAAGACCTAGCCATAGACCAACATACATTTTTTTTTTACATAACAGAGTTTCTAAGTTGTCTTCCAGATAAAGCTTTCAAGTCTTTCCTTAATGATTCTTTGGATTGGAATTTCCTTTTTAAGAATAAAAATGAGGATGAGAAGGCAGATCTCTGAGTCAGTGATGGTACCATTCCACACCCACTGTGTAAAACGTAACTCACCCTCAAAGTACATGTAACTATGAAGGGGCTGCCATGCATTTCATAGAAACCTCTGTCAGTCTTTCTTGCCATATGTTCATGAATTACCAACTGAGCTGTGAGTGCAGATTTGAGTTTATAGCACATAGGTTCCTTCCTTGTTTGTTACACAATAAAACTTTTTTCAAAAGGACAACAACAACAACAATTCTATTGGTTTCCATGAGTGTCAGTTAGCAAGCTCTTACTGGATAATACCATTATATGCTTAAAATATTTAGTCAATCATTCATTAGATAATAGACATTTTTAATGTTTAAAATTCAGTTAAAATGGCACTTTCACAAATCTTTGGATACAAATCTTGTGTACAGTATTCATTAGTCTTGTTAAACTATCTAAACTTATGTTACAAGAATTAGTTATTTCCTGACAATACTTGGTATGATCAGTATATTCTGCAGTGGTAATTCACTAGGATTTAAATTTTATTTATTTATAATTAAACATTGTTCTGATTTTTATTTTCAAATAAGAGAAATCAACAAGACAAATTCGTGAATGATTTGCACTGGAATTCAGTGTGTTTAAATCTCATTTTGCTCTTTACAACAAATCACACATAATATAATTTGAATCATGTTAACAATATTAGACTTTTTCACATTCTCCAGAGTCATCTTTCTTATTTTACCTAAGTGAATATCTCTATGGAAAGGACTGAACATATGATAAAACCATAGTTACCTGCCTGGATTCATATACTTGTGAATCTGAAGAAGATATGATATTTTGCTCTAAGAATCAAAAGTTCTGAAAATAGATACACTAAAACTTACCATTATTTTTAGAAGACAGAGTAGGAAGAAGTGAGGTATTTCTAGTTTGTTCTCTGCTAGAAAACACTGTGACAAAAATTATAGCACTAATTAGTACTGTAACATAACTTTGAAAAAATATAACATTCATTTTTTATTTTAAAGAGAATAAAATGGAACAAAACAAAACAGAACAAAGCCAATCAGAGCAGAACACTGAAAGTGATACACAACTTTAAAATAAGACAATAGAGAATCAGCAATGGCTGCCATAATGCCTCTTGACTTATTCAAAATAGTTCTCCAAACCATCAGACATAACAAAACAAAACAAGCCAAAATAGGATAAATCCAGTCAAACAAAATAATGAAAGTGTTACAGAACTTCACAACCAGATAATAGGAATTCAACAATGGCTAGCATATCTTGTTATCTTCAAAACAGCTATGTGTACCATCAGACATAAAAAAATCAAACAAACCGAGACAGAATAAAACCAAAACAAACCAAACCAAATAATGAAAATGATACTGGAGTTCATAACAAGATAATAGGAATTAACAATGGCTACCATCTTTCCTTTTTAGATGTTTCCTCCTTTATTAATTTCATAATGTCTACTGTACATTTTATTTTCTAATCCAAAAGAGAACAAAACTAAACAAAATAAAACAAAATAGAGCCAATAAAAATGAAACAATAAATACTATAAAGGACTTCAAAACAAATAATAGGAAATCAACAATGATTACCATAATGACTCTTGTTATCTTCAAAATAGCTCCCTATATCATCAGACAAAATAAAACAAATCAAAATAAAACAGAATAAGATAAATACAAACAAAACAATGAAAGTGATATAGTCCTTCAAAATATAATGGAAAGTCAACAGTGGCTACCATAACATGTCTTATATTCAGAATGCCTTCCTGAAACATCAGATTAAGAAAATCAACACAAAACAGAATAAAATCAAACAAAGCAGAGCAATTAAAATGATACAGGGTTTCAAAACAAGATAATACGAAATTAATAATGGCTACCATCTTACCTTTTGAGATGTCTCTTCCCCTTTCACTTTCACAATATCTATTGTACATTTTAGGTACCACTGAATACTTCAGTTTTTATACTCAGGAGACAAAACAGTGTTCACTCATGTAGTCTGAACCACTTCACCCTCAAGCATGATCTCAAGTTGTATCCATTTACCTATGAGAGCCTCATGATTATACTTCTTTATAGTTAAGTAGCTTTCTATTGTATAAAAATGCCATATTTTTCTTATCCATTCTGTGCTTGATGGGCGAGATACTCCTGCTTTTTTCTGATTCTCTGTTGCATGGAGCAATCTTTTTTCTCCTTTGATTTTCAGTCTATGAATTTCCTTTCAAGTCAAATGTGTTTCTTGTATACAGCATATACATGGATCTTGTTTCTTGATCCATTCCATCTGTTTCTTTTAATTGCTGTATTGAGGCCATCACATTAGTGGCTATGACCAATAAGCACTGGTTCTTCTCTGCCCTGATATTTTCCTGTCATTGGCTTCCTACTTTTCTCCTCCACTGACTTGCTTGCCCCACTTAGAAATCCCCTTCTGCCACTGTTCCTGGAACTGTGATCATTTTTATCTCTCTATAGTATGTCCTTCAGTATTTTTTGTAGCATTGACTTGAGGTCATGAGTTCCTTCAGCTATTCTTTGTCATGGAAGTATCTTGTTCCTCCGTTGGTTTTGAAGATAGTTTTGCAGGATACATGAATCTGGGCTGGAAGTTGTTTTGTTTCAGGACTTGAAATACTTCACCCCAAGTTCTTCTTGACTTGATGGTTTTTGTTGAGAAGTCTGTCATGATTTTGAAGGGTTTTCTTTTCTAGGTGATTTGTTTCTTTTCTTTCAGCAGCTTTTAATATTCCCATTCTTGTGCTGGATTTCTAGGATATTTATTATTATATACCTGGGTATAGATATGTTAGCTGGAGTGCTATATGCCTCATTTATCTGTATGTCAGGTCTTTTTCCAATGCTTGGGAAGTTTTCTGTTATTACCCTTGTGAATAGTCCTTTTATGTCATTTGTGTAGACCTCTGATTTTCACAGACAACTATCATTATTACATTATTTTTGCATCACCTTACAGCCATTAAATTGTTATTTTCTGGTTCCTTGTTGTTTTTAAAAGACATTTTCTTTTGTGATCACTAGCTGCAATCCTGTCTTCAAAGTCTGAGAGTCGATGTTCAGTTTCTTTCAAGCATTTTTTTCATGGTATTTTAACTTCCTGAATATCTCTGAATTTTTCATGCATTGTAATTCTTCCTTGTATTACTCATTCAAGGGTTCCCTAATTTTCCTATGCTTTTCTTTTAATCTATGTCTTCTTTTGATATGCTCAGCAACCCTTTTAGTATGTTCCTTTTTTCTTTTATCTGTAATGTTATTTCTAATCTGATTTCTTTTACAACTTCATGAAGTAATTTCTTTACTTCAGTTGCCATCGTCCTAGAAATTTCAGGCATGCAAATTTTAATTTCTTCCATGTCTGTATCTCTTGGACTTGTTCTGTGTGGGTTGGAGGCCTGAGATTGCTGCTGGCTCTTTCATCTTGACATTTTCCTGGTTTCTTTCTGATGAGCTGGTTGTGGGGTTCCAGACACTTACCATATAGGCTATCCATCTGCAGTGTAGGGGAATGGGTCAGGCACCTGAGTTTCTCCTAACCTATGTTCCTGGGGAGAGTGTGGGGCACAGGGCAGGCTTTTCCTGTCTTGTGTGGCTTCTCTGAGACATGACTATCTAGTTCTCCTAGCCTATGCTGGATAAAAGTTCCCAATGGCAACCATCAAGCTCATGCGGACTCATGTAGGGGCAGGGATGGCTGAAGCTTCTCCTGACCATAATGGCTACACCGAAGAGAGTCCCAGTGGTGGCCTGTATTCCCATGATGGTGAAGTTAGCCAGTTTTTCCTAGCAGTTTGCACAGTCCCAATCGGTTTCTACACTTCATCTACTGGCTCATGATGTTACTCACTTCATCTACTGTTGATTCCAATTTGTCTGCACCTCTAGTCCTGCCTGTTGACCATGTGTGCATTAGCCAGAGATCTACTGAGCCTCCATCTTTCCTACTGTCTCCAGTTCCTTAGTTCCATCAATGGAGGGAGCAGAAGCCTGTCTTGGACTCCTTTCTGCCAGTTACAGCATCTCCCAGTCAACACAAGGAGAGTAACCCATCTTGGATCTCTTTGTCACCAGTTTCAGCAGCTCTGGTCAATGGTGGGAAGCAGATGTCCATCTTGGACACCTTTCTGCCATTCACAGAAGCTCCCAATGAATGGTGGGGAGAGGGGCTCATCTCAGATCCCTTTATGCCATTCACAGAAGCTCTTGATCAATCATGGGAGAGGAAGCCATCTCAGATACATCCTGCCAGTCACAGCAGCTCTCATTCAATCATGACATTCATTCTTAATAGCAAACCATTCTACATAAGTAATACCAGGTTGTTTTCTTGATTCTTTACAGTTGGAGAGCAAGGTACTGACTATTAAAATTATGTACAAGACGCCTAAAATGCCAGCTATGTTTCTCCACAGTCTTGATATGGGGAATCTAAAAGAAAAGAAAGAGAATCAATGCTTGAGTTTCGCTTTCCTTGAAGTTATCAAACAGACTGTTGAAGACAATTTAGATGCCACATTCTCCAAGGGCAGACTTCCATGGACTCATTCCTCAGGGCTTCACTCTGAAATCAAAAGTTTTTCATTTTCACTGAGACAAGTTCTTGCTCCTCAGATTCCCTTCATATTAGTTCCTCCTTCATTCTCTTCTTCCTAGTACGGTTTGAACTCTGAGGTTGCCCAAGCATCCACATGAGCAATGTAGAACATCTTTTATCCGAGGTCCTACAAAATTTTAACCCTGGACAATCCTTAAACATTATCTCTGCTGAAAAGTAAAGTTCAGTTCACTTACAAAAACCCTAAGCTTTTATCCAAATAATAACCCATTATGAAAGTAAAATGTTGATTTATTAATCTTAGGAACCATAAGCCAATATATTAGTAAATGGAGAAGCGATAAGATGCATTCTTCTTTCAGTTATGATAAAAAATTATTAGTTTTTCCCAAGATAGGGAATATTTACTGTGGTTTCACAAAAATACAAAAGACCTCTTAGTGTTTCTCTAAAAAATGCTATTACTTTAGTGTTTAAAAAATTAAGGTAAGAGTTAATTTCTTGTTGAAGCATGAGAGTATAAAGGATTCTGCTCAGACAGGCCTGATTCACAAATATTTTTGAGTGCAATAAAGCTTTGTGCTTTCCAAAAACTAATTTTATATTCAGGATGGAAACTGGGAATCAAAGGAGGGAATCATTGAATTAGGAGAAATGGATTATCTCCATCTCCATTATCTCCCTATTATAAAACTGCATAAGTTTTACCTTAAAAATACTTTTAAATCACTTTCTGTAATGTTTCTTATGATCATAATCTAAAATTTTTGTCATTTCATCTTTAGATTTCATGGCAAATCCAAAGAAGGTCCATAGTAAAAGTTTAATTAATGTTTAAGGGAACTAATTAAATAAGTTATAATTGAAATCTAGCATCAATATTCTAAAGTATCATGGAAAGAAACAACTCATACAAATTCATGACAATTAAGTTTATAGTTCTTACGAGTAATACACTTCTGCTGGTATCTGGATCAATGATATTCTAGAGGAAATTTACCTATACTAAGAGAATATTAAATTTATTACAGGATCCTGAAATAGTCTCAGATGGTGCTGAAAAGTTAGATAATTAGTGTTTTGTGAAAATTTTGTACTGGCTTTGAGAGTTAAAATCTTCTAAACTCAAGAATAAATAACTCTCTTTAAATAAATATTTATGGTACTGTATCTTTTCCTTTTTGTCCAACAAGTCATGCTCTATGCAGCAAGTGAGATGTTCTATGAAACTTCCTGTTCACTTGATAATACAAGACTCTGTTCTTTCTTGAATATTCTTTGCTTCTGTTAAGATTTGGAAAATTTCAGACCTGTGTGAGTTATTTCTTGCCAGACTTCTACACCTTCATTTTGTCTGTTTCTAGGCTTTTTTGTTCTGAAGAAACATAGACACTGTCAGCCTTCAGTTCTGATAACTTTTCTTTTTGTTCTCTAACATTGCTGAAATGACATAGAAAGAAGAGACCAGTGCTCACTGAATCACCAAACTGGTGCATGAGCAATTAGGTATAATATTAGAGGAGTGAAACAGCAGGAAATGAAAGTGTCACTCTCCCTGTGAATTCTGTGGTCTCCCATATTCAAAAGAATTATTGTATACTCCATATATAAGATCAATACTTTTCTTCTTCTGTGAATCAGTTTGGGTACCTATGAATTTAGATTATATAAATATTTAAATTTCATTAACTATTCTATTTTATTAATTATTCTTGTTTTTAATAATAAAGTCAATGACACATACAGCATGGTTAACTCCATTCAGGCTTCTCTTCTTGTTGGAATGGTTAGTGACCACTTGTAAACACCCAGCCTATTGGACCAGTAATCAGAAGGCTGTAGGTTTTCCAAAGTACATTCATTTCTCTTTTCATCTAAAGATACTCCACTGCTGTTCCATCTGTACCATTTTTGATAAAAAGTCAAAAATCACCTACATAATTTTCCCATTGTATATGGTCTTTTTTGCAAGGCTACATTCCTATTTCGTTCACTTTGAATTTTTATGATTTGACAATGATATGATTAGAGTTTTCCCTATAGATTGCCAAACTGCTTGCACATATCATGTAAATTATATTTCAAACTCTCTATTAGGAATAATTTAGCCACTTTTTCTTAAAAGATATGAAATATTAGAAATTTTCTTTTCTATTCTAGAATATTTCTTTTCTTGAAATTTATTTGATTCTATTCTAGAATTTTACATTAGTTTTCTTTCATACTTTGTATTTCTCTGCTAAAGTTCAACATGAGCTCATATTCACTGTAACTGGCTTGTTTACAAACTAATGAAAGTGTTCATAGTTGTTACTCTGACCAAACGAGTAATGACGATGATGGCTTACCACTGAAGCTAGTTTCTGAGTTTCTTATTTCTGAACCTGAATTTCATTTGTTATTTCTTGTTTTTCTTTAACGTTTGTCCTTAAAACTCTAAGTAGTGGGTGAAGATGGCAGCTTCAGCCACTCATGCAGCCTCACTGCTGTCACAATAAATTGATCAAATGTGAATTTGAGATTACAAGATTACAATAGGAGAGAGACTGTAGCAGCGGTGGCTGGGAGCTCCACCCAGCCTGCAGGAACTTTCTCCCTGACCTGGGGACCCAGGCTGGTTCCCCACTGGACCTGGGGACCAGGCCAGATCAGAGACTGTGGCAGTGGTGGTTGGGAGCTCTGCCCAGCCTGAGGAGCCACTCTTCCTGGCCTGAGGAGCAGGCCATAGTTCCCAGCTGGGTCCAGTGAGAGGGGCCATAGCAGGGTACCCCATCCCAGGCTGGTGGATCTCTCTCCCACACTTGGAACAACACTTGAAGCTCCCAAATACAGGAAAATGACAAAACAAAAGTCCAAAATGCAATTGAAACATCCAGCCCATCCCAAGAAAGCCCAGGAGCCATGTGCATAGAAGGAAACACATGCCACATGACTGAAATACCTGAAATAATGGTAACTGAAATAAAGAAGCAAGTATGGGAAGTCTTAAAGGAATTCAAACTAGAAATATTCTCTCAGACGAAAGAAGAATTGATAAAAGAAATGAAGCAGATGCTAAACATAGCTAAAGAAGAGGCAGTTAAAAATTAGAGGAACTAAACAAAAAGATAGAATCCCTGGATGAACAATATAAGAAACAAACAGAATACATAAAACAGATGCAAAGAGATATACAGGAAATCAAAAACTCCATTGAAAGTTGTAAAAATCGCCTCAATGAATGTGAAGATAGAATCTAAGATCTCGAAGACAAGATCACAACAAGTGAACAGGAAAGAAAAGATCTTTTAAAAATAACAAGAAATCAGGAAATAACAATTCAACACCTACAGGATGACGCAAAGAGAAACAACGTAAGGTTGATAGGGATGGATGAAAAAGAAGGGGACAACATAAAGGATGTCAGGAGGATATTTAGAGAAGTAATGGCTGAAAATTTCCCAAACATGAGATTGGAAACTGATATCAAAATCAATGAAGCATATAGATCTCCAAATAGTCACAACCAAAATAAATCTACACCCAGACATATAATAATGACCATCTCAGAAATTGAACAAAAGAATAGAATATTAAAGGCTGTCAGAGAGAAAAGACAGATCACCTATAAAGGAAAACCTATCAGAATCACAGCAGACTTCTCAGCACAAACAATAAAGTCAAGAAGAGCATGGAGTGATGTATTTCAGACCCTAAAGGAAAATGATTTCCAACCTAGGCTGATGTACCCTGCAAAACTGTCTTTCAAATTTGATGGAGAAATAAGATACTTCCATGACTAAGATCAGCTGAAAAACTTCATGATCACCAAGCCAACCCTGCAAGGAATACTGAAAGACAGCCTAGATACATTTAGGAAAAAAACACTAAACAAAGAAGACAGTTGGACAGAGTAGGAAGATAAACATGCAACAGCAGAAAGATAATAAGTCAACAATAAACCAATTTATAACAGTTCTTATTATTAATGTAAATGGTCTCAATGCACCAATTAAAAGAAACAGACTCCAGAATGGATCAAGAAACAAAATCCAACCATATGCTGTCTAAAAGAAACCCACCTAACTCAAAAGGATACTCACAGACTCAAAGTTAAAGGATGGAAAACAACACTCCATGCAACAGGAACCCCCCCCCCCAAAAAAAAAAAGCAGGGGTAGCTATTCTGTTTGCAGACAAAGTCAACTTCAAGCCAATAATGATTAGAAAGGATAAAGAAGGTCACTACATACTGGTTAGGGGAAAACTCCAAAGGAAGAGATAACTATCTTAAATATATATGCACCAAACTCCAGAACACCCAGTTATATAAAACAAGTACTAACAGAAATGAAAACAAATTAGCAGTAACACAATTCTGACAGGAGATCTTAACACACCATTGACACAAATGGACAGATCAACCAAACAGAAAACCAACAAAAAAATAAAAGAACTGAATGGCACCTGTGAACAAATGGACTTAATAGACATATACAGAGTATTCCACCCAACAACAACAGAATACACATTCTTCTCAGCAGTACATGGGTCATTCTCTAAAATAGACCATATATTAACTCACAGAACATATTTAAATAAATGCAAGATAGTTGAAATTATCCCTTGCATGCTATCAGACCATAGCGCCATGAAATTAGTAATTAACGATAAAAGATACTGCAAAAATCCCACAAACACATGGAAACTGAATAACACACTCCTGAGTAATAAGTGGGTCACAGAGGAAATTAAAAAAGAAATTAAGCAATACCTACAAACAAATGAAAATACAGATACAACTTACCGGAATCTATAAGATGCAATGAAAGCCGTCCTCAGAGGAAAATTTATTGCACTGAGCTCCCACATCAGGAAAATAGAATGAATACAAATAAACAACATGATGCTACACATCAAACAGTTAGAAAAAGAAGAGCAAGTCAAGCCCAAAGCCAAAAGAAGAGAGGAAATTATAAAAATCAGAGCAGAAATCAATTCAATAGAGACTAAGAAAGCAATCCAAAGAATCCACAAATCAAAAAGTAGGTTCTTTGAAAGAATAAATAAAATCAATAAGCCCCTGGCCAACCTTATTAAAAAAAGGGAAGAAAGAGCTCAAATCCATGCAATAAGAAATGAAAAAGGTAAAATCACTACAGACTCTACAGAAACACATAAGGTCATCAACACCTATTTCGAAAACCCCTACTCTCAAAGGTTTTATAACACAGAAGAAATAGACAGATTCCTAGAAACATATGAAGTATCAAAGCTAGATCAAGAGGATGTAAAACTGCTGAATAACCCAATCTCTATCAATGAAATTGAACATGTAATTAATTCCTTACCTACAAAGAAGAGCCCAGCCAGGATTCACTGCAGAATTCTACAAGAAATACAAAGGAGACCTAATGCCGACACTTCTCAAACTCTTCAATGAAATTGAAAGGGAAACAATCCTTCCCAAGTCATTCCTGGAAGCAAATATTACTCTAGTACCAAAACCTGGGAAAGACCCAACCGAAAAAGAGAACCACAGACCAATCGTCTTAATGAACACAGATGCAAAAATCCTCAAAAAATACTGGCAAATAGGATGCAGCAAATCATCAAGAAGATTATATACCATGACCGAGTGGGATTCATGGCAGGCATGCAGGGATGGTTCAACATACATAAATCAATAAATGTAATCCGCCATATGAAAAAAACGCAAAAGTAAGAATCACATGATCATTTCCATAGATGCAGAAAAACCCTTTGATAAGGTCCAACATTCATTCATGATAAGAACTTTACAGAAAATTGGAATAGATGGTCTTTACCTCAATATAATAAAGGCCATTTATGACAAACCAACAGCCAGTATCATACTAAATGGCCAAAAATTGAAAGCCTTTACTTTAAAATCAGGCACAAGACAAGGATGTCCTTTATCACCTCTCCTATTTAATATAGTACTGGAAGTACTAGCCAGAGCAATTAGACAAGAGAGAAAAATAAAAGTGGTAAAGATAGGAAAAGAAGAAGTTAAATTGTCATTATTAGCAGATGACATGATAGTATACATAGAAGACCCCCTAAACTCCATTGAAAGACTCTTAGATATAATAAATAAAATCAGTAATGTAGCTGGGTACAAGATCAATACTCAGAAATCAATAGCATTCTTATACACTAACAACAAAATCACAGAGAGAGAAATAAGAGAAGCCACACTCTTCACACTAGCAAGCAAAAAAAATGAAATATTTAGGAATTACTCTCATGAAAGGAGTGAAAGACCTATACAGGGAAAATTATAATACACTGAAGGAAGAAATTGAAGATGATCTCAGAAAATGGAAAGATATCCCATGTTCATGGATAGGAAGAATAAACATTGTGAAAATGGCCATTCATCCACAAACTGTTATACAGATTCAATGCAATCCCAATAAAAATATCATCAACATACCTTGTAGATCTAGAGAAATCACTCCTAAGTTTCATCTGGAACCAGAAGAGACCTAGAATAGCAAAGGCAATTCTAAGCAACAAAGGCAAGACAGGAGGTATCACAATCCTTGACTTAAAGTTATACTACAAAGCAACAGTATTAAAATCAACATGGTACTGGAATCAAAACAGAGCAGAGGATCAATGGAATAGATTAGAAGATATAACCACAACTAAAAACATACTCAACCACCTTATCTTCGATAAAGGAGCCAAGCAGGTTCACTGGAAAAACGACAGTCTTTTTAATAAATGGTGTTGGAAAAACTGGCTCTCCATTTGCCAAAAACTAAAACTCAACCCAAGCCTATCATCATGTACTAAATTAAAATCTAAATGGATCAAAGATCTGAATATTAAAACAGAAACACTAAATCTATTGGGAGACAAGTTAGGTAGAAACCTTGAAGACATAGGGGTAGGTAGAGAATTCATGAACAGGGCTCAAACCACATGGGAAAGACTTCCCAGAATCAATAACTGGGACCACCTCTTATTAAAAAGTTTCTGTAAATCAAAAAAAAAATCTCCAGCATAGTGAAAAGAAAACCCACAAATTGGGAAAAGATCTTAGTGAACTCCCCCTCAGACAAAGGACTTTTGTCTAAAACATTATAAAGAATTAAAAAAAATCAGACCCCCAAAATTCAAAAACCCAATCCAAAAATGGGCATCTGGGATGAATACATGCTTCTCAGAGGAAGAAATACAAATGGCAAATAAATACATGAAAAAATGTTCATCATCATTGGTTATTAGGGAAATGCAAATTAAAACTACACTGAGATTCCAGCTCATTCCTGAAAGGATGGCCAGGATCTAGAAAACCAACAACAACAAGTGCTGGAAAGGCTGTGGGGAAAAAGGAACTCTCCTACACTGTTGGTGGGAGTGTAGACTGGTACAACCTTTGTGGAGATCAGTCTGGAGATTTCTCAAAAAGCTGGGATTGGAAGTCCCATTTGTTCCAGCTATTCCACTTCTAGGCATCTTCCCAGAAGAACTGAAAGCATCATACCACAGTGACATATGTGCACCTATGTTTATAGCAGCACAATTTGTAATTGTCCGATCTTGGAAACAACCCAAATGTCTATCAACTGAGGAATGGATAAAAAAGCTGTGGTATTTCTATATACAATGGAGTACTACTCAACTATAAAGAAGGATCACATTGAGGTATTTATCAATAAATGGTAGCAGCTTGAAACCATACTCATAATTGAACTAAATCAAACTCGCATCTGTGAACACCGAATAGTTTCTCTTGTGTAGGAATGATTCAAATATATAAAAGTACGTGATCACCATGATTCCCCATTATGTGGCCTTGAAGCCTTATAAAATTTTCACTCATTAATTGGAATGGCTTTATTCTGGTATGTTTGATATTATGGCCTGTGATGCAATGAACAGCTACTTTGAAGATAATAAGACATAATAATAGCTAATGCTGATTTAATACCATCTTGTCTTAAAGCCGCACCAAAATATGGCTCTTCTGTCTCCATTGCTTTTATCATGTTGTAACTTGCTGGATTCTATCGTATGTGGTAGTACAAAATTGTAGGTAGTACAAAAATTGTTATAGGCAAAGAGATAATATAGAAACCATTGATCACTTTTTTCTGTTAGCTGGTTCTAAATACTCTACAATGCTTTCATCCACTTGAATGGTGTTACACAGTCTTGATATGTTTTGACTTGTACCCTTACACTGTTTTGTTTTGTTCTGCTTTTTTTCTCTTTTTCCTTTTAAATAAAATATTAAAAAAAAACTCTAAATAGCTCCTTCACTAAATCCATGAATAATCTCAAAAACTGTCCATCTTGTGTCAAACCTTTGTCAAGCAGTGGCAGACACAGGTTATGTACCTGAGGTCCTATGCTCAGCAGCGGGAAGGTTGAGGCTTGGAGGTTTTTTTACTTTTTAAAAATTTTTTTTATTACACAGTGACAATACAACAATTCCTAAATCATAGTTTAAAGATTCACAGGTTGAGAGACCATACATTCCACCAACTATGGAAAAAACAATAAACAAGGAACCACAGTTGAGACAAAGTTTTAAAGTTCAAGAGTATGCTGGCAAAAGCATGATGCCTAGGACTCCAACCCAGTCAGTCTACCGTTAACTTGAGCTACATGCTTGAATTAAGTACTGAACAACAACTTTTATTTTCACAATGTTGCAGAACCCTAAATATTATTTTAAAAATTACTTCACATCTGCATTGCCATAGTATTCAATTTTTTTCTGTTCCTTGAAGAATTTGAGCTACACAGAGTCAATTTCCCTCAGTATTCCACAGGTAGGCATGCTTTCCATAAATAAACCAGCCTTCAAACTTCTAAATCCCAAAGACATACACCTATATATAAAAAATGTTATGAAAAAAATTTAAAAAACATTGGCCTTGTCACACACAGTCTTAAGACGGAGGAAAATAGAGAAGAATACAAGAGAGAGAGAAGAGGTAGAGGACATCCTATTCCTATCATTGATCATCATGAATTATACTCTCCCATAGCCTGTATATAAATGACATGCAAAAAGGAAAAAAAAAAAAAACTTTTTTTTCTTTTTCTTGTTTGAATTTATGAGGTCTGCATTGCTACCAAGAAATGATATGGTTTGTAGCTGTATGAGCTTAATTTTTGGTATCCTGATTCTTTTGTGCCAATTTGGTTTGACTAATAAAGTTTTTGTTAGCTACTGGCACAATATACATGCTGTCAGAGACAGAGAGAAACTTTCTGTCACTGAGAAGAATGTAGCAAAACAGAAGGAAAGGAAGACCAGGAGGAGGAAGAGGGATCAGAGACAGAGCTCAGAGTTAGGGACTTTTTTTTTTTGTATTTGCTTTTACTCAGGGTGCCCTGAATTAAAAAGTAATGAGACAAACTCTACTAATTCTTATTTTAAACACCGTTAAGAAGAATTACAGTGCTGTTTCATATACATCACGGCTTCTAAAGTTGTGTGGATAAGACATAACTATTCAGGATTCAGGTCCAAGCTCAGCAACACAGCTAAAGGTTGTCTTTTTCTTTAAAAAAGTCTAGTACAGAAACATTTCCATTTTTCTTATGCCTTGTGCATTTTGCAAAGTTGTTTGGTGCTCAATCGTACTTGCTAACTTCAATTAATGTATTAATAACAATTTGCTTGTTACACAAAAGATAATTACCTTCTAGTAATTGGTAAGTGGAAAGTTCTCCTTATTTCCAATACAACTTAAGAAGTAAAAATTTCAAAATCTTCTGAATAAAGTAAAATATTCAGAAATACTGTAACTCACTTAAAATAGCTGATTTGTTTTGTGAATATTAGCTATTTTATTAGCTATTAGCTATTTTAATAAAAACATGTAAGGATCAAGCAGGTTTTCTATATATTAAACTCGCAAGTACAAATTTTCCTACATGAACCTTTTTCTTACTGCATATTCTTTCCATTCATATAGTACAACTGTATTTCTTACTTTCCAAAGATGAAAATCTGTGTAAAACTACAATGAGTTTTCTTTAAAAATGTAGTCTCTGCAAACACTAATATTATCTCAGACTGAAAATTAACTACAACAAATATAAGCTAAAAAGAATAAAACAACAACTATATACAAAAATAGTCAAAAATACCATGTACATTTATCCCTTTAATTACAAAACAGTAATCCTAATGTAATATATTAGTCCCCTTCTAATCCCCTTTTGTTCTGTTAAGTAGAATAATGAATCAAAAACCATTAAATATGACAAAGCTTTTTAGATTTATCAGCTTAGCTAAACTACATACTAATTTTCCAAAATATCTAAAATGTAAATATTTGAAGGTCAGATTATTTACAAAGGCCTGGTAAACTTTTACCAATTACTTCCCATATTTTGGTCTCCATGTACCATTTCTTCTTCTTCTTCTTTCTTCTTCTCCTTTTGCTTTTTGCTCTTTCTGTGTTTCACAAGTAACACCTCCACACACAAATACTACCACTCTTGAGAAATCCAGTGCACTCAAACATTGTACTTACAAGTTCTTCTTCACTTGGGAGCCGTCTTCCCGTAACCAGCACCATCCACTTTTATTGCTTTTGAAAGCGACCAAACCTGTCATTTCAAACGCTAATAATAGCTCTTATTGGGAGAAAAGATGTACAAATATAACCCTGAGTGTGTCATGATCTGCTCCTTCCTGACTCAAAGGTTAGTGGTGAAAAGCTCTTCCAAGGTCTCTCACATACCCACTTAGTATATTTATAGGCCCAACCTCAAGATATTATCTTGCTTTTAGTTTGAGTTCCTTGTAACAATAAAAAGTCTAAGGGTGGAATTTCTTTCTTATCTCCATAAGAAAATTAATTCAAAATTAAAAATACTATTCAGCTTTCTGTATAATGTTTGTCTCTAGTACTTCCAAATCAAATAATGTGATATAATGCGATGGAAAGGTGGACGTGTGTGACCCATCAGTTCTTCTGCAGTGTCTCTTTCAGAAGGTGAGAATTCAGTTCTGCCCAGGTATCCTGGATTTCGCCTCAGGTTTTGGCTTCACCAAAGAAATGATGGTAACTATTTCCATACCAAGTCCAGCTGGGTGAGCAAAAGCCCCTGGAGCAGACTATGAAAACAAAATGTATTCATATTAATTATAATGTAATTATGGTAGCTACTATATTACTGTAATTGTGATAAGATAAATATTTGACAACAAAATTGAGAGTTTAGGATTGTTTGTTTGTTTTGGGTAGTGGTTTTAGGGATTGAACTCAGCACCTACTACATGCCAATCAAATGCTCTAGCAGGAAACTATACCTAGTATGAAGCATTTTTATAACATTTCTGAGTAATCTTTATATAATCCATAGCTAAGAGAACATCATCAATAGTAGTGCATGTTCTTTAAAACTGTCTATTTACAAACTGTGATGGGGAAATGAGAAAGGAAGAAAGGGAAAAAGAAAAAACATGTCTATGCATAAGATAATTAAAACAGATATACAGGTAGCTTCACTTTGGAAAGAATATTTTGCTCTATTTCTTTTAAACAAGATATCATGCCTATGTCCTACACTCTGAATAACTAGCAGGAAGACAACAATATACAATGTATCAACCATTGTATCTGCTCTAACCTGTTTTGAAACTTAGTTTCATTGTTTATCTTTTTTCTCTTCAAAATAAAAGAAATTGTTTATTTAAAAATCAATATAAAGAGCATGTGTGAGAAAAATTTATTTTGGATAATATAATGTTTGATATGATTAAAATGAGCTTTGTCTATTTAAATGATTAAACAATAAAAACAGAAAAAGCAATTACTGAGTCTAATTATCTTTGAAATGTGTATAAAATAATTTTGAATATGCACAAGTAAAGCTTAAAAGTCCTCCCTAGAAGTTGTCAATCTTATGCTCCAACAATTTACTATTTAACTATCCAATAAACATACATTATTTGTACATTTTCTTTGTTTTATAATTTTTATAATCATCTAAAGTAATGTTATATTTGTTTTTAGAAAATGACTGTATTTCAGTTTCTCTCTGAGGAGACATGGCTTCTACCTATCTCATCATTATACTTCAATATCAATATATTTACTGAAATATGAAATGTATTATTTTAAATTTGTCAAATTCTTGAAATAATATTCACACAATTTTCATTTAGCATGACTTTTACAGGTGAAGCAGATAAAGAATAATGAAGTTAATATTTGATTATTACTACGTATAACAATGTAATGTTACAGAATCACAAGTTTTTAAATGTTAAAGCATTTTAATGATGCTGTATCAAAATTCCTGTTATGCATGTTCTTTCATATTACTATGAGAATATTCTGCAGAAAATGGAGATGATTAAAAAATATGATTTTCAAAGAAAGTATAAATTTGATTACATTCATCATAATTTTATCAAGATTATAGTCTCTTTAGTTTCTTTTTTCTCATATATTAAAATTTTCATTTTAAAAAGGTGTATGACCACATGAAAAGTTTGAAATGACAAAATTATTCATAATTAGGAGTGAACTGAAGCATCTTTTCACATAGTAAATTTTATTTTGATTTTCTGCTTTTACAGTTTCTTTCCTATGCTTTGCCCCTACATTCACCAACAAGTTGTTTTTATTTTTCTATAACTTCCCCTTGCAGCTTTCCCAAGTAAGTCAGTGTGTTGATCAACAATACTTGCTAATCAATTCCTGTGATTTTCTGTTGGCCACTGTACGATGACAGTCACCGTGATGCACCCTGAACTCCACTCCTCACCTGGATATTCATCTCCAAACACGATGCATTCTTACTGTATTCTAAGGCTCAGAATCAATTTATCATGACACTGAGGCAAAGACTAGATTTGTGTTTGGTGCTACAGCAGCGAAATAGAGGCTATTACAACTGCAAACTTTGACTCCATCTTAGGCCTGCTGAGGGCGTGTGCTTAGTGGGAAATCGATTATAATTCATTGACCTATAACGAATTTGAGGAAAGTATACTTTTGCTTCATAAAATACTATCAATACAGTGTACACAATTTATTCTCACCATTATTTTTAGAAGGTAGAACCAGGAATAAAGATTTTCCTGCTTCACTTTTCTCTTCTGGAATATCCTGTGAAAAAATTGTAGCAATAAAACTTACAGCAATAATTTCTACTAGAATATAATTGTTAAGGCAATATTAAATACATATTTGTAGAAAATAAAGCCCTCATCATATTGCTGATAGGTTGGTTACCTAAGTACAAATTATTTTGTATTTACTTACAGTTTGGACACAAGAGACTCATTGTTTTCAACAAAGTCATGCACAAGACTGCTAGGATGCCAGCCATCTCCTGCTATGCTACAGATCGAGGGTCTAAAAAGAAAGAGACACAATGAATGAGTTTCTCATGTATTATAATTGCATATATAAAATTGAAGGCAATCTAGTCTCATTCCCAGAGTGTAGACTTCCATTTCTAATTCTTCAGCATATTTAATCTGAAACTAGCTACATTTAGACGTGAGTTCTTTGCTTAGATCTTCCTTGACTTCCCTTATTTTTCAGCTTGAATTTCTCACTAGCATCTTACAACTTGCTTTATTTAGTGTTCAACAAACTATTAACGGTGGACAATGGTGAACATATTATCTGTGCCAGTAAATTTAGTGATTAAGTACTTTAGGAGAAAATCAAATTGTCATGCAAATAAAATATGCCGTGAGAACAAAATTTTGATGTCTTGATGCTATTGTGAAGGGTGTGGTCTCCCTAATTTCTCTCTCCGTGAGTTTGTTGTTTGTGTTCAGGAATGTCATTGATTTTTGAGTGTTGACTTTGTACCCCACTACACTACCAAATTTGGTTATTCATTTTGGGAGTATTTTGGTGGATTATTTGGAGTCTTCCAGGAAGAGGGTCATGAATCAGGAAATAATGATAATTTAACTTCTTTTCCTGTCCATATTCCCTTTGTTTCTTTTGCTTGCTTGATTGCTCTGGCTAATGTTTTGAGGACTGTATTAATCAGGAGTGATGATAGTGGGCATCCATCCTTGTCATATTCTTCATTTTAGAGTAGAAGCTTCCAGCTTTTGTCCATTGTTGACTGTTGATTTGTCATAATTGGCTTTCATCAGATTGAGACAGACTTTCTATATCTCAACTGAATTCAATGAGTGGCATTAATTTATCCTAAGAAACACAGCAATATTTGTAATAGTTTTGTCTAAATACTTGAGGCCTGAAAGAGTTTATCTAAAAAGAATGATATCGTCTTGATGTTTGGAGGAAAAGTAGGGATTAATAACTTTTTGGAGGATGAAACCACAAATTTCCCACCCAGACAGGTATTACACATTAATTCTGATGGGGTCAAGTTTTGTACTTTCAAGAACTTGATGAGACTCAGCAGAGAAGAATTTCTGAATGGAAGGAGAGACATGAACTAAAGGAAAGGAAAAATGAACTAACTTCTAAGAAACAGTTTTCCACTTGTACTTTCCTGGATCATTCTTCCTAAATTGGTATATTTTATTTTCTACTTCTCTCTGATGGTGTATTCAAATGCAAGTGTTTCAATTCTTAACCAGCTCATCACTTACAAGTTTTCTCTAAGATAGATGCTCCCATTGTCTCCACTGTAGTCTGTCCTGCTCATGTCTGTCACATCTGTTTTCTCCACCAGCCTTACTTTCTATGCAGATCCGTGTCATGAGTATTTTCTTTTTTTTCAGTACTGAGGGTGGAACCAAGGGCTTCCCACTAAACTCCATCAGCAGTCTTTAATATGTATTTATTGTTTTTTATCTTGGGGAAAAGTCTAAATCACCAAATTACTGAGCTGGATTGATCTTCTGCCTCAACCTCCCAGAGTGTTGGGATTACAGGTTTGCAAAAATATACCTGACTTTAAATTTAGCTTCTTTATGAACATCTTCTTCTTGACTACCAAGAAACATTCAAATGATATATGTAGTCTGATTTTTACTGAGAAAATCTTTAATGAGAGAATATTTTTCTAATAATAGGCAAAATTACTAACTGCCTATGTACTTTAGATAGAAATATACTTAAGATATTTTTGGAACAACATTTGATTTCTAAACATTTCCTCCATTATGTCATTAATTACAATGTCTTATGTAAGTGTTAGATCTAAAGTGTCATACTTTTTTTTCCTTATCTCTCCGATTGTTGAGGAGGACTGAATTAGGCTGAACAGAATTGAAAATTTCCATCAATAGTTATTTTTTAAAATCTTGAAAGGAACAATTTATACAACTTTGATATGATTGTTTTCTTTTTAAACTAATAAAATTCTGGGCCACTGATACTGCAGATGAAGGAAATACTGACTAAGAGACAATAAATTCCAAGGTAGTGTCTACAATAATTTAAACAGGCGATTAAAAAAAGATAATGCATTATGGAAAATTCATATTTTTAAGAGAGATCATCTACACTCATGAATCAAAATCTTTTATCAAAACATGCAGTGCTATCTAGGGATATAGCTCAGCAGCACAGTGCCTGCCTGGCAGATGTGAGGCCCTGAGTTTGATTCCCAGAAAAAATCATGTGTACATACACTACCTTTTCTTTTTCTCAAACAAATCATTTTCTGTGCTACACATAAGACACCTTGATAAACTTC